GCCTCTTCTCCCAGGCAACAAACAGAACCTGAAATGGCCAAAGTTGTAGCAGAGGAGGTTTAGGTTAGACTTAAGGAAGAACTTGTTCTCTCAGGCACTGCAATGGCTGCACAGGGAGGTGGTGGAGTCGCCGTCCCTGGCAGCGTTCAAGATGGATGAGGAGCTGGATGAGGATGAGGAGCTGCGAGATCTGGTTTAGTGCTTGTGGTAGCAGTGGTGAGGGGAGGATCTTGCATGTCATTGGACTCAATGATCTTGCAGGTCATTTCCAACCTTGTGATTCTATGATTCTATGATTCTATGCTTCTATAACCCCCACCCTGCACTCACTGTGCTGCAGCAGCTGCACACCGCTGTCTATGCTGCCCCCGAGGCGCGACCCACGCTGACGGCAGTCGGGTGGTTTCCATCCTGGATGGCAGTGGCAGTGCTGATGGTTATTGCACACCTGGGGGGGGATACAGGCGGCTGGAGGGTCTTCAGGTCAGGCACAGCCCTGCCCAAGGCTGCCTACTGTGATATGGTGTGGGTAGGGAATCCCCCCGACAAATCACAGCCCCCCACTGTTGCTCACTCCATGGCCATGGCATTGGATTTCGCTGCTGCATTTGTAGCCCAGCACGGAGTGAGGGTGGCACGTGTTATTTATGCACACCTGGAACATCACAATCAGAGTGCTCAGCTCATTGCCCCACATCGGAGCAAAATCTTCAAAGCATTTTAAATAAAATACATATAAAATGTTTACCTACCATTCCGGAACCGCATTTTGTGCCTGGTGGGATCAGCAGAGGATCCTGCCTTGGTGATGCATTCAGGAAATTCAGAGATACACACAGCTGCTCCCGTACCCGGGCATAAACAACTGCAGCACTGGCAGTCTCCAGTGGGGTGCTGTGTGGGTACGTGCAGATCAGTTTGCCACAGCGAAGGTTCCTGTAAAATCAGTCTGCATCAGATGGGTGCGTGCATCACTGACGTGGACATACATTGCATGGTGAAACATCAGCATCCTTCAGCCTCACAGCACCATTGTGGAGAAGGGCTGCAGTGCTGGCAAGGAGAACACGCACGGTGCTGAGTTTATTGCTTAACACAACTACAGCATTGATGCTTTCCTGCTCTGCACAGCCCGAATTAAACCCAACAATGTGTTTTTAGCAGGGAAATGCCCTTCTTCAGCTGCCTACCTCCACGCACAGGCCCTGTAGCCGTGCCGGGAGTGGTATCCACAGTGCCCAAATCTGTCCCTCTGGCTGTTCAATTCCTCATAGCACACCACGGGAGCGCTCCTGGAACCTGCACATTTGCCAGTAACATTGGTCATAACACACAGCTCCTAATTCCTCAGGCTGCACCCAGCAGAATACAGCTCCCGGTTGCTTTCACCACCCAGCATCCCATCACCCATCCCCAGTGCTGTGCCAGGTGCCACTACCTCTCCCATAGAGCCGCTGGCACTGCAGCTCAGCAGACTGGCAGTGCCCATGGTAGCAGTAGCCGGTGCTGTGCTCACAGCTGTGCCCATCCTGCACGTAGACGTCGGGAGGGCAGGAGGCAGAGGAGCCATTGCAGAACTCGGGCAGATCGCACTGAGCATCAGCAGGGGGACGGCACAGAGTGTTGGCAGCCTTGAACTGGGATTGAACACCAACTGCTCGCTGCAGCCCGTGGCTTTGAGGCATTGCACACCCCCCAGAAGTAACACCTCCCCCAATAACTTCCCTCCAGAATTTAAGGGAGCTGAGCTGGAAATCCCCCACCCAGGAACCACCTCAATTGCACTGCAGCAGTTTGTCTCCATCCTTAAGAAATGATATTTCTCCAACAATCGATGATGGTTACAAGATCAGAGCCTTACCTGACATTCTGCACAACATAACCCAGAGGAACATTTCACTCCTGGCTTAAACACACATCCTGTAGCACAGCATTTATCCTTCAAGCACGCCTGTGGACACAGCAGCACCGCATTACACCACATTTTTGTCCCCCCCTCCCTTAAACTTCTCATCATCACACCTCCTTTTTTCACCCCCACAACGCAAATCTAGCCAGAGCGCACAAAGCTGCCATCAGATCAGTGCCAGGATCCGAGCACAGCCTCTCACAGCTCATAGCTTCGAATGGACAACACACAGCTGTGTATGGAGATGCTGCAGTGCAACCCAAACCTCGGCGCTGCCGCAGTCGCACTGCTCTCCGTTCTCCACCACGCCGTTACCGCACATGGATGCACGGCGTGGGGAGGAGCCCCGCAGTTGGGGGCTGTGCAGGAGGCAGCGCCTTCCATCAAGCCTCAGGAACTGCTCCAGGTCTGCAGTGCTACAGCTGCTGAAGGCCTTCGTCCCACTGATGTGTCTGAAAGAAAGGATGAACCGTTTTGCTGGCGCTGCCACCGCTGTGCAGCGCTGAAGGCTGCGGGGTGAATCGTTGCAGCCTTCAGGACCTAAAGGGAGCCTGCAAACAGGAGGGGAATCAACTCTTGGAAAGG